CTAAACCAACAGTCTTGCCCGTCGCGAGCCAAGATGGGTGAACACTGAGTTTGATAGTTTCACAGAGACCAGCTGCTGCTGTGATCTTTTACTGATATGTGTATTTAAGTGTTTAAAATTACTCTATTCACTCAACCAAAGCAACCATGGAGAATGTTTTGACAAGAACCTTTACTACTTTTATATCATCTGTGTCAAATGTTCATTTTATCATTTAAGGTGCACTATTGCATCAGTCGTGTTTATTGGACACAGGTAGAACTAATACGTTCATCCATAAATGGTCCTGATGCTGCACGTCTTCACTTTAGTTCCACCTTTAGCGTTCCTTTCATTAACGACCATTAATGAAATCCTCTTAGAATATTTCCAAATCAATTCTGAAAGATTTGTCTGCAACACGGTGCATCAAAAAACCGATTACATCTCCCACCCTTACTAAATAATAAGAAAAAGTTTAGTTTGTCTCTTAGAATATTAAAATCTTATGCAACTTTCCAAGCTGTTTACGATGCAAAAACTGGCTGATTCAAACTAAATGTTAATTATCAAAAAAATTTACATAATTATCGAATGTTATTGTTTAAACTACATTTAATTTGTGATACATTTCAAATCAGACGACCAAGGTATTGAACACAGTCAGAAACACTGCATCTATCAACATAAAACAATTAAAAACAGCTGAACTACTAAAAAAGAAATAAAATGCAAATATTAAAATAATAAAACTGTTAAAACAATAAAAGTAGGACAATGATGCCAAACTACGCCACCTAGTGGTTGAAAGCTGGGTCCGCATGGCAGGGGTGAGGAGTGAGCACCACCTCACCCCGCCACATGGACCCCAAGGGATAAACCATCAATCCTGCTCAATGGTCAACTTTCCTCGCAGGGTCACCCCTAAAGACAGTGGGAGGGTTAATAGTTTTTATAATTGGTAGTTAATGGTGACTATCGCCACCTACTGACCCAGCGTGGTTATGTTCCATCTTCTTAGTCTTTTTAATTTTTTACAAAGATGAACCAAATCCTCAGAACTGTTGCTGAATGACCTTATTTTGGTGTTGGTTGTAGTGTTTTGGTTTGGATGTCAATAGAAAGTAAATATCTAACCGACTTCGTCCCTGCCTGCTGTCTCCATCTCCACATATGCTGGGATTTAGCCACCGGAGGTCTTTGATATTTGCCCCGAACAGATTGATGAGCAAGATGAGGGCATATTTACATTTTAGTCCAACCTTCTGGCAGAAGAGAAGGTCCAGCTTGCTTATTTTTACGCAGCTTCCCATGAGGAGCCACGTCCCTAAATGTTTGACCCCTACATCCTTCGTCTCTCTGTCCTTCTGTCAGAACGTTATTGGTACTTGGAAATGTTTTGGAGTCCTTCTTGGTTAAAATGGAGTGAAGCATCTTCTGTGGATCTGCTTTTATTTTTAATTAATGAAGATGTGTTTATCAGTGAAGGTCTTTCAAGTTTGAGCAGTTTTCCAGCAACGTAACAAATGCATTTCTCTACTTCTGGCTCCTTGTAACTTGATGCCTTCATAGTGTAAAGTCATCGTAAGACCCAAAGCTGGGATTGAGATCAGATTAATAAAGATTACATGCAGCTATTACAGGCCGCGGGATGAATCGCGTTGACCTCGTGTCCCATCAGAAGGCAATAAATCAGGGAATGTCAGCGGAACCCTCTGTGGACGACCTGGAAGACGGAGAGGTGGACAATCAGGTCATCTCTCTCTTTGACATGGGAAACAGAAATAGACCAAGGTCACAGAGGGTGTTTTTTTTTTCCTGTGGTACATACTAGTATGAGAACTGAATGCCTGAAACTCCCATGAATGACTCCCAAAGCGCAATCAACATTTAAAATCGCAGCTCTCCCCTGAGAGGCCGTTACGAGTCAATCAAAGCTCCAATCTGCAACGCAGACGCACCCCTCCAATGGGATCAGGCATGGGATTACAGACCAGACCTGGATCTCACATTCTTAGTATTCTTCGAATGCAAACATGCACATCACCCCACATGCGGAGGGCTGACCTCTTCTTTCAGAATGAAGCGTGCAGATCCCATGCTTAGTGACCCCGACCTGCCCCGGCTTCCACTTCCCACTGCCACCTCTCTGTGTTCATCCATCCTTTTATGCTTCAACAGCCACCTTCCACTCATCCATCCACCCCTTCATCTGCCGTGGGAACCTACACCTGTGGCTCTCCCCAGGCACTGACTCCATCACGTCTTCTGTCTTCACAATAGTCGCCCGTTGTCATGAAATAAAATGAATACCAGAAATGAGTTAAAGATATTGTGGTTTTTGTCAAAAAATCACGTGACGAGTAGAAATGTTTATTCACCAAGCCCTCTTCTCTCAAAACTAGGATTCCTGTGAGTAAATCCTCTAATCCACCAGGGGAGCGGGGTCGTGGAGGTTTGTTCTGCGGCGTATTCTCTGTAGTCCCTCAGATTCATCTACGTTGTTTGTTGGCTTTAGAACAGAGGCAGGTTAATGAGACAGGATGTTATGAAAGTTGGCTAAAACCAGGAGGACTCGAGCGAGAACCACCGGCGGCCGCCCTGCAACTGTCCGCTCATGCTCAGCAGCACACATGCTGACTCTAATTGTCCCTGTGCTGACTGCGTCTCTTCACGGACAATGGTTCTGATTGGAATAGGGGTGAGTTACGGTGTTGGGACAAGGGTCTTTGTTCAGTAGCCTTTCCCTCTTCCCTCCCCCACTCCTCCCCTTTATCCCCCTGCCCATCCATCTATCTTGTTCTAACCATTTGGGCAGCTGTCACTTAATCCAGCTAATCACAGACTGGGATGGTCTGTGGGAAACCAGACTGGTCCGTGGCTTTGCTCATCCCCAACTGACTCGGGCCACTCTTTACTGAGCTGTTAACAACATGCAGGCACTCCTGCAAACCTGGATTTATGTTTTATGTGTTCCCAAAAACAAACCACCTGCGTTTTTCTGCACCTCTGTAAGCTTTGTCCTCTGATAACGTGTGTGCCATCACTCGGTTCTCTTTTTCAAGCGTAGGTGTACACATACCTGTGCACACGCTCAGGCAGCAGCGACCGGCCATCCTCTCTGATCGGGGGATGGGTGGAAAGGTCAGAAGCCGGGCTACGTGTCGTTGGATGCACGTTCATTTCGCATAATCCATCTACAAGGCTGCATCTGTTGCACGTCTGCAGTTGGTTGGGCAGGCGGTGCTCTCTGCGATGTGAGCATCGTCCATAGCTGCCAATACTCTTGTCTGGGTTTAGTTTCCACCATGCTTCCACTTTCCAGGTCTCACATCTGTACGCCCTAAACTCCAGCTTCCTGCCAACCAAACATCTTCCCTTCTATTCACTTGTCCCCCATGATCCTCCACAATAACACTCCCCTCCCCTTCCTCCCACTACCACCGCCAGACAAGCCTGCTTAATCCCACAGCCCAGCAGCAACCAGCCTACCAGCTTGCTGGTCCCCTGATCAACAACGCAGACTTGAACACAATTTGTCGTCGTCATCTCGGATTTCTCCGGCTTGATTCACGCATCGCAAATCCTTCACCCTCGACTCGCCCACCAATCGAACATCCCATTAGTGACATTACACCAGAGGTCATGGCAGTCACACTGGCTACTACAACTGTCACTGGTAGTGATGTAATGAGAGCTATTTAGGTCAGCTGGTTGCCTAGCAGTGATGCAGGTTTGCTTAGGTAGTTTCCATCTGTGTGTTTACATCAATGTGTGTGTGTGTGTGTGTGTGTGTTTGTATTTATTCAAACCGGTCTCAAACATGACTGTTCGACGCTCTGGTGTGGGGTGCGACGTCGTGAAAAGGAAAGCAAACACTTTATCAGGGATTTTAATCGTTGGAGCTTAAGTTTTGTGGCACATTTCAGCTTTGAGGAGCTAAAGATGAAACTAGTTCATCTCACAAAGACAAAAAAAAAAAAAAGCAATCATCAGAAACCAACAATATTCAGCTGAATGTGGCGTCTAAAACAACGACAAGTTTTTAGACTCTACCTGGCAGGTGTAATGCATAACACCATCTAACATAGTCGGTGACCTTCTGATTAGCCTCGTGCAAACGTTAACGTCAAAATTAATGCTTAATCATCAAATCTTGAGGGATTTGTTAGAATTAGGATTGCTTCTTGAGTTTCTGCAGCCCAAGCACAAATTTCTTTATCTGCTTTTGCTTCGCTTCAAATATTGTGTAGGTGATAATTGTCATCCATGGTTTCATGCCTGAGAGTCCTTATTCTTGGTGCACTAATTTAATAGATGTAATCTTTAAAAAGACTGGTTAAAGCCGCTCAGATTGATTGTGATTAGGTTACACCGTCCAGGAGCTGTGGACTCTTTCATACCGAGCCAGAAGACAGTCTGTACACACCAGGCAGTTTGAGGCTCCTCTCCGGTTTCTTCTTTTGGCTTCTCACTCTTGTACTTACTGCAGCTTGCTCTCTCATTTCTGTATCAGAGTTTCATCTGTGTAAGTGGAGCGTACTTCCAGGCGTCCGAGCCGAGCTGTATACGGGACTCTGTAGTAGCAAAGAAATGGATTTTAGCATCATCTTTGTGTTTTTGTTTGTGCAGGAATTAGGATGTTTGAAATGATTCTCTCTCTCGCTCTCTTTCTCGCTCTCTTTCTCTCTCTCGCTCTCTCTCTCCGTCTCTCTCTCCGTCTCTCTCTCTCGCTCTCTCTCTCTTACTCCACAATAGCAACACATTTTGGTTATTGGTGATGTTTACTTGGCAGTTAATAAGGGAACAAAACAACAAAGGCCCTCTGTTGCGTGTTCCTCTTTTATGTAACACAGAAGAGAAATGGTATTCTATGAAGCAGATTTTAAAATGATCATTTTGCATGAGAAAAGGTCAGTTTTGTTCCTGCCTAAATGCTCAGCCAGTTTCAGTTGTGCATCGTTTGAATAAAAGCAGGAAAAATGGGGCATAAATTGAATGATTTTTGTTTTTCTCTCCAGCGGTCGTACACGTTGATTGTGGAGGCCTGGGACTGGGACAACGACACACGCAACAGTAAGTTAAAACGTCACATCGGTTTATGAAATGTTTCACCTGGAGGCACCTACAGGTAAACCGCTCCCAGATCTTATTTGTGTAGAGATGCTTGACGTAAGATTGAAATGTTTTGCATCTGTTTTTGCTTTGTGGGTGTTTTTGTTTCAGTGTGATCTTTGTTTAACTCCTTCTTGATGTAGTTTACAATGTGGAGCTTTAACATTGTGACAGATTTGAAGGTGCTGACTATAAAAAATGAGTTGTTTCCACCCGGACCGTTTTAGATGTGACACACTCTGAGCCTGATCACATTGTGTATCCATAAAAATAAAATGAGTGATGCTAAAGACGTTTTTACTTATATTTAGATTGTTTATTAACATGACTTTATTGTTTTTTGTCATTTACACCCGTTAGGTTAATTGCCAGCTATAGAAATGTTACCATTGCTAGCACCTGTTAGCTCAAGGCAGCTAGGTGTTTTCTTTTGAAGGTATGTTTTAGTAAGTGTGGTTATATAGTTGTGTAACATATCAGGAAAAAATGATTATGAAATAATCCTGAGAAAGTTTGGATTTCACAGTAAAGTAAAATAGTTGCATCATTTCTTTGCCACATCACCCAGCACTAGCTTGAGGCTAACCTTTTGCTTTTGTGGGGATTAAAATTAAGATTACCACTTAAATCTTTGTGAATAACTTTCTTAGTTCCAAAATTCAGTTTGTTTGTTTTCTCTTCTGAAACTAAAAAACGAAAGTGTTTGGGTCTGGCTGCTAGTGCCTTAAAGAGCAAGTCACCCCCTACCAGATTCTTACTCAACTCTCACTTCCTGTTTGAAAAATGCAACAAATGCTGTTGCCTAGCAGACCGAGAGGGCAGAGCCGCTAACACACACACACACACACACACACACACACACACACACACACAGGCTCACAACGACATTGTGACATCATATGGTACCAGATAATATTCTAGGGTACCTCTTAGCCAATAGCGATGGCAGATTTAAATTCAAATGCAGTGCAGAGTTTTTACCTGACAACGGCACAACACTGACAGTTTTAGGCGGAAATTTTAATTTAAACTAAAATGCACTAAAGTGCAAAACTTATAGACTACACGTGTCTGCAGCACTATTAGACACGCATTTATATAGTTTCAGAAAAAAGAAGTTGATTTGGGGGTGACTTGCTCTTAAAGTTCCTATTTTGAGTTGGTTCGTCTTTGCCCTGTTTTTATTGTCAGCTCTGGTTCAACTTTATGAAATTGGTCAGATGCTTAAGTGGAAAAGATTTTAAGAACGCTGCCAAATTCCACAGAAAAACATGAAAAAAGCTCAAAGTCCTCTTAAAAAAAAACTACGAGAAGGTTCATCTCCCTGAATTTCTCCAAACCTTTGTTGAGTGTTGTTTTATGTTGTTCAGCCTCTAAACTAAAAACCTGTTGCCTAATTGTGTAAGTCTCCTTCATGTTGCCAGAACACTTAAGACCTGTCTCCTCACGTTTTCAAGATGTTTCACTTTTTCTTAGGTCTGGTTGTACCCAAACATGTTTTATCCTCTTGTCTTCACAAACATACCTTGGTTCTTAGTTTTCTTTGCTCTGGTATTTATTTTTCACTGGCTATATCCTGTTTCCCTTGATTTGGACTCCCGTGCAGCCTCCTCTTTCCCGTCTGTGCAGGAAGAACTCTGCTGATTGGAAAATCTGTATGTCTGGATGTAACTTTGATCTGTGAAGACAGCGGCATCATTTAGCGAGTCACTTGCATGTTTTTTATTTGTGCATTAATTGACTTGCACACTGTTCCATGCATTCTTTCGCTCTGCCTCTTTTGAGGTCACTGCATCCTGTTTTGTCCACACCATCAAACAGACTTCCACCCATGAAAAAGGACAATAGAGAAAAAAACAGGTTTTGACATAATCACTTTTTGATTAGCCTTGTTTTTAATGCTAATCGTCTATATATTTCATTTTTAACTCTTAATTTTGCTGGAAACATTCAAGTTGGTTTCCTTCCAGCTACTTGTTCAATTCCTAGCCAAGCTGCTGTAAAGAAGCTGATGAAATGTGTCTCTGGTCAAGACTTTTAACTCATTTTGACGCCTCTTAATAGATTTGTGTCACTACAGTAAGGTAATTGTGTTTTTTCCATTATTTATATCAATTTTCTGGCATTTATTAGCCAAATACGCTCGTTTATTAGAGGAATATTCTACCCCTAAGTGAAATTTAGTCTGTGGTCGTATTCCCCAAGGTTAGAAACATGGGGAAAAGCTTTTTTTAAACGGTCTAGTCATTCTCCTAATCTGGCAGAGTTCTGTTTACTTTAGCTTAGCATAAACAGTGTAAATGAATGGTAACTGCTAGCATTTCAATAATTCAAATTCACAAATACACATACTTATGTAAACACATTTGTGGCTACTAGGCTTTTACCCAGTGCAGCTTTTTAAGGAATGAAGCAAGTTTTTATTTTATTTTATTGTTTATTTATTTATTTAATTATGGTTTCAGTCCTACCTATCAGGTCGCACTCAGTTCATTACTATCAAATCCTCCCGCTCACAACCCTCTTCTGTCTCTTCTGGCGTGCCCCAGGGCTCCGTCCTGGGGCCCCTCCTTTTCATTATATACATCCTTCCCCTTGGCAATATTTTCCGCAGATTCAATATTCATTTTCACTGCTTCGCGGATGACACCCAGCTCTATTTGTCCAGTAAGCCAAATTCTGCACTTCCTCCCTCCTCCCTCATCACCTGCCTTCATGAAATAAAATCCTGGTTCAGTTCGAACTTCCTGAAATTGAATACAGACAAAACAGAACTTCTTTTGGTTGGTACCAAGAATACCCTCTCAAAATTTGACAGTTTCTCTCTCACTGTTGATAATACTTCAGTTTCCCCCTCTCCCCAGGTCAAGAATCAGGGTGTCATCCTAGACAGCACACTATCCTTCCAATCTCATATCAATAGCATCACATGGTCAGCTTATTTCCATCTTCGTAACATTAATCGTCTTCGCCCCTCCCTTGATGTCCACTCTACTTCTATTCTTCTCCATAGTCTGGTTACATCACGTTACGATTATTGCAACCCTCTTCTCTCAGGTCTCCCTCAGAAAACCCTCCGTAAGCTCCAGTTGGTTCAGAATGCAGCAGCACGCATCGTCACTAAAACTCCCATCTCTCATCACATCACCCCCATCCTCAAACAACACCATTGGCTACCAGTGCATACCAGGATTAACTTCCAAGATTCTCCTTCTCACCTTCAAGGCCATCCATAACCTCGCCCCCCACTACCTCACAGATCTCGTTCACATTGTCACCTCGTCCCGTTCCCTCAGGTCCTCCTCCTCCATTCATCTCTCTGTGCCCTCCTTTCGTCTCAGCAGCTTGGGCATCTGGTTGGGATGCCTCCTGAGGAGGTTTTCTGTGGCATTTCTAACCAGGAGGAGACCTAGAAGTCCCAGTGCCGTTGTTTTTTTGTCTGGCCTGGGAATGCCTTAGGATTCTTCCAGAGCCCAAGTATCTGGGGACATGAAGGTCTGGGCATTTTCTGCTTGGACTGCTGCCCCCCAAGACCTGACCTTAGATGAGCAGAAGAACATGGATGGATAAAACTTAAAATTTTATGTAGATTTACTGAAAACATGTCCCAGAGCTTCCATTTTAGACCTAAATATAAAAAGTCAATAAAGGGAACTTGTATGACCCCCGAGGTCATCCGTAGATAGAAGAGGTTACAAGTCTGGATAACTAGATTATTCATGTCTGCTCCGAGTCAGAACCAAGCTCATGTCTGGTTCTCCATAGGAAGCAACATGTCGACCTGGTGAGATTCCACTACTCCAGCGTCACGCCCTTGTGTTCTAAGCAAAGGCAGCTGGCTGTTTGTCTTGTTTATCGAACAGGAAGTGGGGTGGACTGGGTGACTGGGCTCAGTGTTTAGACACTTGGTAACAGAGACCGGCTTGGGCCCAGAGCCCATTGTTCTCATTCTGGCAGCTACAGAGGGTTATTTCTGTTGTTGTTTGGTTAATTCTGTCTGACATTGTGTAGGTCCGCAGCAGAGGAAGGTGTGTGTATGTGTGTGTGTTCCTGTTTCAGATTGTTTTTGGAGGCCAAAACCAGGGAGGAAAATAAAATCAGACCCAACCTTACAGTGTTGGTTTGATGTCTGTGAACCCATAGTTTATTATTTTTTCTGGTGCTGTGTTTTTCAAAACATTCGGCCACCTGGAAGCTTCATAATCATACGTAGAGACAGATTTAGTTAATTTTCACACCTAATATCGAATCTAAGCGTCTCTATGCTAATTGTAATGGCTTTCCTGCTTATTTACATTTCTATTTCCAACTACTCATTTTAAACCCTCCTGAAGTTTAAAAATTATTATTTTTTTATTTAGAGAATCTGTTCACTTAAAGGGACTTTACAGAGTTTTGAATTTTTATGCTCGCGATTGCCCCCTCAGGCCAAAAGCGTAACGGCAGCTTCAATAGTAGGCTCGTGCACGAAGCGCGCATGCTGTACGTGCGAGGACAGGACAACGCACAGCTAATTAAATAATTTGGTTCTGTACCTTTCTCTTCAGCACAGCCGACAAAGGTTTATGATGGGTCAGTCCTCCTGCATGCTCAGATCATTCCCTTCCCTTGCTTGAAAAATTGTTCCAAAATGAAAGTTGAACCCACATCTTTTGTTTATCTGTGAATTCAATGCCGTTCGGCGAGTCTCAAATAAAAAATTTGAGCATCTTACTGTAAAAAAAATGCCATTAATGTAAAAAAAAAACTCTAAATAAATTATATTGACACTCCGAATTGAACCCAGAACTTCTGCATGGGAGTCCGATGTCTTACTAGGTGAGCTAAAGCGCCAGTGACATCTTTTGGATCTGTAACATTTATATCCTTGATGACAGCTGAAACAACGTTCAAAAAACGGTTCGGAGCAAAAATGGCTATTTTGTTGCTAATTTGCAGGAAATATCTAGAAGAAAGTAGCTAAGGTCCTCAAAAATGTAGCTAAGTTCCATCACTAGGCGTTAGGAACAACGACAAAGTTGCTGAGTTGGCACTACCGCACTCTCTGCTGCTAAAGCTACGGATAGCAAATGCTACGGGCTATGCCTGAGCATGAACGCGCATGAAGCAGCCTGCTCGACCCAAGCAGCTCTCTTTTTCTGTGATTTTACAGAAAAACAGGCAATCACAGTAAAAATGCCAGGGCTCATTCTACAGTACCAGGGCACTGCAGGAGAATGTATGAAGAAGAAATTTATTATTTCTATACATGTTTTGACTGTCAAACTTCCATAATGCCCTTTTAAGTAAAAACAAGCGGACTTCACCCTCCTTTGTCTTTCAGACGAGGAGCTGCTGATCGAGCGCGGCGCTCACACCGGCATGATCAACCCCGGAGATCCCTGGCAGACCATCCTTCACGACGGGCCGGTGGCTCGCCTGACGTATCGCATCCGGGTCCGCTGTGACGAGAACTACTACGGGAACAAGTGTAACAAGCTGTGTGTTCCTCGGGACGACTACTTTGGCCACTATCGCTGTGAGGCCTCTGGGGCTCAGGTGTGCTTGGATGGATGGATGGGGCAGGAGTGCAGGACAGGTAAGCTGACATGTCTGAAAATGTCTTTGAGAGATGTTTTGGACTCTATTCTCGTCTTCTGATGATCTAAAGATGCTCTTGATTATTGTAACGGCTCCCATATTCCTGCCGTGCCTTGCATGTTAAACGCTCTCTGGTCTGCTCAGAATGGCTCGCTCCGATCACAAATTGGGAATATTCAACATGTGTGATTGTCTTACCCAGATATCGCAGCATTTGTAGTGTGCTCCAAATGGGGATTGGAAATAATGGCTTTCTTGGCATCAGAATGTCTTTAAAATTCAAACATCATATGTGAAATCCTCCATAGCACAGAACAAACGAGACCAGAAAATTTTGTAGCCCCGTTGACTTTCGTTGCATGAATTTCTTCGTTCTTCCGGGGACCCATGTTCCGGAAGTAGATGGGCGTGGCTTAGGATCCCTATCACACAAAAGCTACTGTACTTGTAGCAGAATTATTAGCTAGCCGTGCTCAATAACTTGGGTGTTTCTCAATGTCAAGGCGCCTGGCCTTGCGAGGACACTGTCCTTCCTTGGTCAAAGAAAATGGTTAAATGGAACAGGCTTGCATCACGTGACCGCGGCTTCCACGGCGGTCACGTAACATCACGTGACACGGGAGATAACGTTATATTTTACATGCATTAGTTTCAGTATAAATATATGAGCACTTTACTTTTTAAATTGTGTATATATTTGTTAAATATATAAGTGAGTTACTACCCGCTAGCCACCGAAGCTACAACTACTAAGCAACTATCCATAGATGACATCTTTGGATCTAAAAAAAAAAAAAAAAAAAAACCATTTTAAATTAGCTGACTTACTTTTAAACTTGAAAATTGTCCCCGAAGTAGCTGTTGGCTTCTGATCCGCCGTCCTTTTTGAAAATACCACTGTGTATTCTGGGTAATTTTTGACCAAGGCTAGGCTACAAGACACCTTTCGTGTATCCTCGCTCAGCTAGCTAAATGGCTAACAAACGTAGAACATGAACACTGGAACACGTCATGGCGGCTCCTGATGATGTATCTTCTAGGCAACCGGGGCAGGGCCAAGACATCAAAGCAAGGTTCCGTGGTATTGAGAAACACCCCTTGTTTGTGCTTTTTCTTGGATCAATCATTATCTTTGGTCATTATCGCCACCTTCTGGCTCGGAGTGGGCGTTACCGCAGTATTAATGAAACAAATTCAATTCATTTTCAACATGAAACTAATAGTTTAGTTTAAAAGTAAACATCTCGAGTAAATTCATTTTAGTTTATAGTTCTAGTTTAAATGTCAAGATATTTTTATTCATTCAGTGATTTTTTAAAATTGCATCTTATTTTTATCGTGTCATAAAGGTTTAATGTGTTGCCGTTGTACAAGTATGGGAAGGTGGATGGTAAACTGTAGAAATGTAGTGTGAGGGGTAAGAGGGAGGAGGGTGAGAAAGGATAGTTGTATGTGTGTGTGTGTGTGTGTGGGGGGGGGGGGGGGGGTATTTTATGTGGACACTGTAAAGTTTCCTCTGCTATTAATTCTGTCGGGTTGAACTTGTTATGAATGTTAAACCGGATTTTTCTAACCTTCTTTTAAGATCAGATCAAATTTGTCTGTTTCTGTTTCCCAGCGATCTGCAAACAAGGCTGCAACCTGTTGCATGGTGGATGTTCTGTTCCAGGGACATGCGTGTAAGAACTTCATCTTTTTTTTCTTCTTCGGCTCTTCTTTAAAATTTGATTAGGAGAAGTCCTGTTGGTTATTACCTGGCTTATATATGAAGGTCGATTTTCTCCAAGGTTCAACAGATTTACAGAAAATGTCTCTTGTAGACGAACCGAAAGTGTGAGAGGAGTAAAAAAGCTGAATTCCAAGTTTCACCCAGAAGCACCTTTGCCTGTCGAAGCCTGTTGTATTCTGTGTCAGCTTTTCTTTCCCTTGTGGGCATCTCCGCCTCACTTCAGAAGAAAAGGGCAACGCCGCGCCTGACTTCTTGTATTTTTAGCCGCCCAAAATCCTCCTCAGAATACCAAGCGTCTCATTAGCTCTCTGCACCTCGGACCGACGAGAGGAGAGGGAAAATAAAGTCAGCGATGTGCGAATTCGACCACCGCAAACGTGCTGGGAATTGTCAGACCCCCTTCCCCATCCGCATTGCAGTCCTCCTTGAAGGGCAGGGGGCAGGAGAGGAAATGAATATCCCACTGTGTTATTTACATTTCCTAAAGTGGAAATGACAGTTAAATAAAGTGACGCGGAGTGTCCCCGTTGGTCCCTTGTTTCCAGGATGCGGGTACATCCCGTCGTCATCTATGGAAACCCCTCTCCCCCACCTGCCGGATGTAAAGACCCACTCACCCCCACCCCCTGTTATTAGGGAGGAAAAATGGTTGAGCAGAGGAATCGGATGATGAGCGGTTTTGGGAAACTGCTTCCCATTTTTTCTTGCATCCTCTCTCATTCTGCTCGAGCAAACTACGGCGTATTCACCCGAGACGTCAACAGGAAAGATGACGTGAATAGAGGAGCAGCCATAAAACGTCTTCCTGCAGGAGCATGAATTTAATGACTCCTCGGGGCACACAAAGCTGGCATTAAATCGTTTGCCATCTCTATTCATTCCCTTTATCTCACCACGCCTTTATGGGCTTTGCCGTGTTGAGCCACGGGGTTTTGGTGAACATAAAAGCTGCTACGTGCCTGTTGTTACCCTGCTCCGTTCAGCCTTTTTATTACTCCACATTAAACCTGTTCTGACATATTTTAGGGGCTTGTCCCAGGAATCACCTTGGATTTGCATTGTAACTCATTTCTTTGACATGAGTCTGTATGTTGGAATCCATCTGTAAGCATAAGGATTTGGTGAGTAAACACCACATGAATAGGAGCAAAAATTGAATCACAAATTGCTGCCCTCAACCTGGCGGTGCTGCTACCGTGCCGTCGGAGCTAAACGAATGCAGTAGTACTTCCCTGCTGCCCCTCTCCGCCCGAGAGGCAGCTTTCCAGCATGCTCGGATCTCAGATTGGCGGTGGTGCCGTCTGCAGGGGGCTCAAAATAGCTGTCAATTGACAAGACAGCTGGCTCCACAGCCTTAGAATAGCAGAGTACAGTCCTGAAGCTGCAGGGTTGTGAACATGCGCACAGTTGTCTCCGCCACTTGCTTTGAAGATGTCTACCTCCCTCGTAGCCGCCACTCTTCCACATAAACAGACTCCAGCGTGAGCTGCTGGAAGTATTCTTAACCTCTCCTGCCCTGGAATGTCACCATACTCCGGGATCGGCTGGCAGCGGGCCAAGGGACGTGTGCTCGCAGGAGCAAATAAAATATTTGCTTTTGTTCGAATTTCTGCAGCTGCAACTGAAGAGTTTAGATCTTTTTGCACTTTTTACATCTCGGATTTTTTAAATAAGCTTAAAATAATTACATGTCCTCCTTTTTTTAGACTTTTGTACAATTCCAATTTCACCATATAATAATGCACATTTAGACTTTAAAAAAAATCTCTTTAGCTCTTTGAAGCTGGCCAAAAAAAAACTAATAAAATACAAAGTCTTCTAAAACAAGGTGCTGTTTCACTAAAAAGCCAGATGTAGTTACAGGCTAATTTGTACTTATTTTTTTGTTTTACAGCTGTAACTACGGATGGCGGGGCCAGTTCTGTGATGAATGTGTACTTCATCCCGGTTGTGTTCACGGGACATGCAACCTCCCCTGGCAATGCAACTGTGAGAGGAACTGGGGTGGCCTGATGTGCGATAAAGGTGTGTAAGCTTCACTTATTGGTTTAGGAACAGCTGCAAAATTTGTAAAAAAAAAAAAAAAAAAGTACTTCTGAGAGTTGTGGTGACGAAACATATGTTTAGAAACAAATGGTTCTTTAATGAGTTTTTCTGTGTAAATTTTTTTTATTTATCTTCTACATGGCTTCTTCTTAGACTATTTGGAGAAAATGTAACAGGATTGATAAGCTAATGGCTAGCCAGAGTCAGTTTGTTACTGGCATAAAACATCTCAAATCTCTAAACTTTGCAGTTATTTTGGTAGCAATGTAAAGAAATTTCATCTCAATTTGACCGCTGCAATAATCTAAAATGTGCTGCTGATATTTGTGACTTGCTGTTAGCTTATCAATCCTATTGAATTTTCCCTAAATAAGGTCAATTGTTAAGCTCCAACATTTCAAATGGGAATTTCTTATGTTTACATGGAAATACACTAAAACTGTTCTTTTAAAATATGATGGTATGCAAATGAGCTTCATTCAAGCTGCAACGACAAATTTGGAAAAATTCTCTTAAAACATTTTTTCATGCTTGTTAACGTTGTAACATAGTACGGCAATAAATATGTTGTTGAGATTTTCAAAATGTATTAAAGTGGTTCACTTAAATTTGTCTAAAAACCTCCACTAATAACACGTTTTGGACCAAAAGTGAATGAGTTAAACCATCCGGTTGTCGGGCGTGCCGAACCGCCACACTTCCTTGTGTCCTCCACCCGTTATACCCGTTAAACATTTAGCAGCAGAACACCACTGGTGTGAGAGGTTCTCCACTCGGTAATATCAGAGGCTGCTACTGCGTCAACTTTAGGACAAACTACCAGAGAAAAGAAAACGCCATTTAAAGTCACGAACAGCGAAAGATGTTTGGATCTAGAAATCGGCGACTGGTGTTTAGCGCTATCTCGTTTCCTCTGGTGTCGTGGGTTTCCTGTTTTGGCAGAAGCATCTCAGGGAAGATACCCGAGGGGGAGGGGTGGTTTCTGTTTCAGTGTTAGCGTTAGCTTTTTTTGTAGATTTGCCATAACCGCTTTAAGTGTGGAAAATGAGGGATTGCAATATTTAGTCACTTTTGATTTGGTTTAGTTTTTTATTCTTGATGTTTAGTTGATGATTTATGTTGGGCTGGACCTTTTATTGGTCGGCTGAAGTCAACAAGTGAAAGTGATTCAGCAGGGATGAGTTTCGGTGACACTCATAACAGATTATTGAGGTTTCTTTAATAAACTATATAAATATGGAAGTAAACCTGGGATCCGTCTTCAAGATTTTGTGCAGAAATAAATGAAAAAAAGTTATTTTCTTTATTTTAGTCACACCAAGAATTTATCTAACTTTTTTGACTTATTGGGCAACTTGAATTGGGTTAATAGAAGGTTTTATGTATTTCTGTCACAAAAAAAAATGAAACTCAAGACTTCCTCTTAGTTTTTTTCTTCCAAGAGCTAATTGATGCTGCCAATCTACAGAGCTGTTAGATTACAACATTTAGGGTGCGTTCAATTTTCCTCGGAAGTCGGAACTAAGAATGACATCACACCCGTTGCCGGAGACGGAGAGGTCGGGATTCCAATATGGCGACGCCCTCAAACTGCTGTTTTAACACAGACGACTCATAAACACACATAAAGCTCATCTTCAAAAAATATTCGAAGAGAGACAAAGACGATCTAAAGCAACACTTTTAGATTGTTCAGCTTGGAGTTGCAGGCGCTACATATAACATTGATTTTAGATGCAATCTTATAAGCGTGTCTTGTAAAATAAACACATTTTAATCAAAACTACTGTTGTTGATATGGAGAGCTGCCATTTTGGATCTCGAAGTCGGGGTTGTGTAAATTTTCCGAGTTTCTGACTGGGAGGCCTGACGTGGGGGTGCGTTTCATTTGATTTTTCCCTTCGGAGGTGGGGATTTCAGAGTTCCGAGGACAAATCGAATCCACCATTAGGGTCTGAATCAGCTCTACTGGCTGGAAACCATCAGCTGGATAGCTTTACTGGCTGTGTGATCTGAGCAGCAGCAGGGACACCCGATCCCCCGACATCCCTTCGTCCCACAGGGCTCTTCGGGGGATGAGAATGGGTCCTCGGATCCCCAGTGGAGACAGATTCCTGCTCATTTATTTACCAGGCTTATGGGCGAGCTGGCATGGAGCTTAGTGTGCAGGCGTCATGTGGGGTTTATCTAGTTTCATTTTCAGAAAAAAACCTGGTTTCCTAGAGCTAGCTTTTAGTAACTGTAAGAGAGGCTGCTCTAAACCGTGGCCACCTGGCTGTATCCGGTAAATACAGTAAAAACGTGTCACAACCGTGGTGGAGAAGACACTTCCTGCCAACGCAGGCAGCTGGTGGTCAACACGGAGCCAAGAATGAGACGGTATTTCTGGGAAATCCCTGGAAAAAAAGTCACAATGCAAGATGAAGGCTAGAAAGAGTTTGTCAAAGCAAAATGTTCTGATGTCACCATCAGATCTCAATTACTGCGGACGCCACCAGCCGTGTGTCAACGGAGGAACCTGCATGAACACCGAACCAGACGAGTACCACTGCGCCTGTCCTCAGGGCTTCTCTGGGAAAAACTGTGAGATAGGTGGGAGGCCAGTTTTCCTTGGAGCTTTTATTAAAATTAAAATGTGCAGGAAACCTTTCTGAAATGGCCGACTTTTCTGCCTTTTGTCATCAGCTGAGCACGCTTGTGTCTCCGCCCCCTGCGCCAACGGTGGTGTGTGTCACGAGGGTTCATGGGGATACGAGTGCCAGTGTCCGCCAGGCTGGGAGGGTCCAACCTGCACCAGCAGTGAGTGGCTGAAGTCCTTCTATAAATCCTCCTTTCAAATTTAAAAGCATTAAAAGTCACACATATTTGATATTTGCTTCAACAATCCTGATTTAAAGGAATGGATGGTCTGTGGATTTCTGCAAAGGGATAACGTGATGGGCAGATTAAAAGGCATGCAGTATTATCGCCCATGACAAGGATGACTAGGGTGCATTTTTTAGTACAACGCTGTCAGACCACAAAAGGATGCTAGCTTAAATTAAATAAATGCTGTTATTTATTAACAGGTAACTCTTTAAGGCATTACAATCAGTCAGTCCTACTGTTTAAAGTTTTAACTAGAATAGTTAGATTTCTAGTGGACGAAGGCCATATTCCCAGAAAGATGTGAACCAAAAACAAATGAATCAGCTTCCCAAAAGCAATGTTGTCCACTCTATTGTCCAAAGATCGACACCAGATGGTCATAAACGGTCATTTTAGAGCCTGTAAATGTTTGTTTTCCTCAGACCTGGATGAGTGTGCCTCCGGCCCGTGTGCGCAGGGTGGAACCTGCATCAACCTAGAGGATGGCTTCGAGTGTGTGTGCCCCCCGCAGTGGGAAGGGAAGACCTGCCAGATCGGTATGTCAACTACAAATTATGTATCCGCTTCCAAAAACGTTTCCCCTCACTTTGTGGTAGAAACTTCAGCATTCCGATTAGATGAGTTCACGAGCGACCGGGTTTGTTTGTGTTGCATTGTTCCGTCTCCATCAAGCGGACGTGACCGGTGTTGAGCCAGGAAATGTCTTATGACCAGTAAACAAAGCTGATGTACTTGTGAGTGTGTGTGCGCACGGGCATGCGTGCACGGTGGTGTCCAAGGCAGGAACGAGATCTCAAGTGTTCCGTGTCAACTTACATGCTCAGATCTCAGTTTACAAGCAGGTATAGACCTCCTGCTTTACCTGGGCATCACTGTGCGTGGAGTGTTGGGTTTCAGAGAGACGGCAGCTGTGGAGGTGTGTGTGTGTGTGTGTGTGTGTGTGTGTGTGTGTGTGTGTGTGTGTGGGTGTGGGGGGGGGGGGTTGTTGTAGGACAGCCCACTACTGACCCTCCATTCCTACACTTGATTCACGGATGTGGCTGTTTATGAAAGAATTAACTCATTTAGATTGTGTTAAAGGGATTTTTCACTCCTAACTGGAATCTTGTCTGTTGCCGTATTCCCTTTTTCGACCGCTATTTTATCCGTGCGCCACGCAGCGGTGGATTACAGCGGTGCCTTTTCGTAATGTAGTCCCAAGTCTAAATCGGCTCCTGGAAATCCTTCGTACTACTTCTTACTTTTCAGTTGCAGTCGACTATCAGTCGATTATCGAGCTCAGCAGGAATAATTGGTATCACTGAGTAATTCTAATCACTTTTGCACATAAAATGCTAGTTCCTGCTATTGTTTATGCTAAGCTAAAGTAGATGGACTGCTGCCAGACCAGGAGAATTACTGCACTGGTTACAAAATGGCTTTTTCTCACTTATCTAGCTGGGGAATATGGAAATTGACTAAATATCACTTAGGAGTGGAATATCCCTTTAAGTGTCCACCATGTCTGTGATGAGTGCTGTATAAATGTTACTTACTTGCACTCGTGAGAATGAATCCCTTGTGAGTTTTGTTGTGCGGTGAAAAACAGGTATTGCACTCCTGGGATGGAAAAATGAGAGGATTATGAGCCTTACTCATTAATATTCATAATGTGTAAAATCTGTGCCTCTGATTGGCTGACAGCTGTTGGCTAAACTCCTAAAATGTCTTACTTTACAAAAAACTAAGTGTTAAATGAACAGTTGGACTACACCCCCACACTTCCCTTTTCCATCCTGATGGTGATGCATTAAAGAGCTAGCTACAAAACCAATACCATCAAGAGAAGATGCTAGCGGCAGCAGCACTCGCAAAACAAGCTAACAGTTTGAGTTCTGACAAGGCCGATTATCCTTGGTGGGAAAGATGAAAAAAGGTCACTTTAGCATCAACTTAACCTTTAGCCTCCAAATGTGTCACGGTTAAATCCACAAAGGTTTAATGAGCACCATGTTCTGTACCCGATGTTAAAAATGAGGCCTGGTTGTTCCTCTTCTACATGCTTGGATTGTGGGATCTTCACCGACTCCTTATCCGCTGTTTTCCCGGTTTCCTTCCATTGATGGACCCCCTTCTGCCTTCACAGATACAAATGAGTGTGCAGGACAGCCCTGTGTGAACGCTTACTCTTGCAAAAATTTGATTGGTGGATATCACTGCGACTGTTTCCCGGGATGGTCCGGACAAAACTGTGACATCAGTCAGTATTTTTCTTCCCCTCTGAGTCACTTCTTATAGTAACCTCTGCTCCTGGCTCCTCTCCAGAAGCTTCTTCTCTCCTGACCTCACTATTTAGGTGTAGTTTAGCATCCCTTCCTTTCCAACATCTGGTAATCCCTGCAATGCATGCTACTTCACTCCAAGGTCTGTCCAGCCCTGGTTTGGCTTCACTTGTTGCTTTATTCCTTATTTTTAACTTGAGCTGCACATAGATTTACCCATCAGGTGGGTTAGAAATACGTTAGTTTGAAGACTTATTTTTTCTCTTTAGATTTCAACAGCTGCCACGGTCAGTGCCAGAATGGAGCTACCTGCAAGGTATGGTTGATTCTTTTATGATAACCTGCGCTAAGTTGGCAGATTGTGGTTATACTCTGACCTTGTTTTCTTTGGTTTGCAGAAGGGCCCGAGGGGATACCACTGCCAGTGTCCTCCTGGTTTCGTGGGCCCTAACTGTGAGATCCGGAGGAACAAATGCGACAGCCGACCCTGCCAGAATGGCGGCCATTGCCGCGCCGTGTCCGACAGCTTCGTCTGTGAATGTCCAGCAGAGTTTGGTGGCCAGCTGTGTGAGGTGAGACCCGAGCACCTTTGCAAAAGTTGTCCGTCACTCTTTCATCCAGAGAGACACATTTTCCTCTTAAGATTTAAAAAGTGATTCTTGTTTTCAGAAGAATTTCAAAGTTTTTCAAAAAATCTGATTTATTTGTTTCTGGATTATTTAAAAAAAGCAGCCAATCCAGAAATCACATTAAACTTGGATCTGTGTTGCTGCCACTGATCACCCACCTTCTACTGTCTTCATAAACATGGCACATAGGGCTGTAATAGTCTGAAAAGCTGCTTTAGCACAAAGAAAAACTCCTTCAGAACATCTGGAAATGTACTGAGGAAAACGTCTGGCTGCTCGGAACTAAAATCTTATGAACTTTTCATCAGACTAGTTTGTAGGGATGTAAGAAAATATGAATATGGCAATATATCGTGATGTTTTCCTGCGATATTAATATTCAAAAGTCGTATCTAATTTTTGGAAGAATTTTCATGCAAACATTTCTATTTTCTTTACTTTTGGTGCATCTCAAACACCGACCGCTAGTTGGCAGCAGTGTGCCATGGGCTTTGTTTCCACCATTGAAACGTAAATCCCTCTATGGTTCGGATACCTCATGTTAAACTTGTTAAGTATCAGTTTGGACTGTTTATTGAATTTTCCTACAATAAATTCAGTCTAAAAATATCGCTAATATTGTCTGAATTTATCGCAACATATTGTGATATATTGTATTGTGATGCGTATCGTATCGCCATAATTTCACCAATACGCATCCCTACTAGTTTGCATGATGCTAGTTGGTGTGATGTCTGGCACCGTGTTGCTCACACTTGACTCGGCAGCTGATTTTACGTTCTCTGGCATGTTGGGTCAGATCATGGATAATCGCCGAGTCATCAAGCAACCGCCGGGATGCTCATCAGTTGAGTTATGAACAAATGTCTAGCTCTACAAGCCGAGACCTTACCTCTCCGTTCCAAGCCCTCTGTGTATTCTCGCCGAAGCCTTTTGTAAGCGAGTCTGAATGTAGGTTGGGAAACCGACATTTCACTGAGACCTCGAATGTAGGACATCTCTGGTTTGGAGCCAGTCCTGATTTAGGCTCTCTAATATAAATGTGGGCCTGGATTTCTGCCTGCATGCTACCCACGCTCTCGTGCCTGCTACGGCACGATGTACATTCCTGTCCTTTAGTGCCAAAACTACGATGCCTCTGGCATCATATTTCTCTGATAAAGATCTCGTGTTGGGTCATTAGAAATGTGATTGTGTCACAGTCGTAATCTCTGCAACATGGCAGTCCAAGTGGGTAAAGAATAGAGAAAGTGAGGTACATTAGCATTCGTAGGGGCAGGTTTACAAAGACAGGTGAATTAATATAAGTGAGGAGCACCCCAGAGTTGAAACAGAATCTTCACCGGAGTCTGGGTTTTCCTACCAGAGCGGAGACGCACTTTTTATAGCCCAGAAAAGGTCTGCGTTGAAACTGTGTAAGGGGAACTTAATATGATGCCAGCTGCTGCTTTGAGGGTTTGAAGATGAAGCTGGAGTGGATGAAGTGTTGATTATATCGCTTGGTCCTTTTATAATATTTTAAATCACTACTAAGGATAAATACAAGACCCCTGGAGGGTGCGTGGGATTTTGCCCAACCAGTCTACATGCGTTTTGTGGATTTGGAGAAGGCGTTTGACTGCGTCCCTCGGGGGGCCCTGTGGGGGGTACTCCGGGAGTATGGGGTACCAGGCCCTCTGATATGGGCTGCTAGGTCCCCAAATGACCGGCATCAGAGTTTGGTTCGCATTGCCGGCAGTAAGTCGGGCTCGTTCCCAGTGAGAGTTGGACTCCGCCAAGGCTGCCCTTTATTACCGATTCTGTTCATAACCTTTATGGACACATAAATTGGGCACAGCCAAGGTATGGAGGGCATTCGTTTTGGTGGCCTGAGGATCAGGTCTCTACTTTTTGCAGATGATGGGGTTCTGTTGGCTTCATCAGAACGTGATCTTCAGCTTTCGCTGGAGCGGTTCACAGCCGAGTGTGAAGCAGCTGGGATGAGAATCAGCTCCTCTAAATCTGAGAACATGGTCTTGATTCGGAAAAGGGTAGAATGCCTTCTCCGGGTCAGGGATGAGGTCCTGCCCCAAGTGGAGGAGTTTAAGTATCTCGGGGTCTTGTTCATGAGTGAGGGAAGACTGGAGCGTGAGATCGATAGGCGGATTGGTGCTGCATCTGCAGTGATACGGGCGTTGTACCGGTCTGTCGTGGTGAAGAGAGCTGAGTCAGAAGGTGAAACTCTCGATTTACCGGTCGATCTACGTTGCTACCCTCACCTATAGTCATGAGCTTTGGGTAGTGACCGAAAGAACGAGATTGCGGATAAAAGCTGCCGAAATGAGTTCTCCGAAGAGTGGCTGGGCTCTCCCTTAGAGGTAGGGTGAGAAGCTTGGTCATTCGGGAGAGGCTCGGAGTAGACCCGCTGCTCCTCCATATCGAGAGGAGCCAGTTGAGGTGGCTCGGGCATCTGGTCAGGATGCCTCCTGGACGCCTCCCTGGTGAGGTTTTCTGGGCACGTCCAACTGGGAGGAGACCTAAAGGTAGACCCAGGACACGGTGGAGGGACTATGTCTCTCACCTGTCCAGGGAACGCCTTGGGATTCCCCCGGAGGAGCTGGCCCAAGTGGCTGGGGAGAGGGAAGTCTGGGCCTCTCGCCTTAGGCTACTGCCCCCATGACCCGACTTCGGATAAGCGGATGAAAATGGATGGATGGATGGACTAAGGATAAATATTAGTAACACACTTTTTAATGATTAGATGATTTACTTCTCTCTCACGTTTTTATGCATCACATCTGGAAAATCTGAGAGATAAGGAAGTGGACGAACGTTCCGAATCGGTTCGATAAATGAGGATCAAATCGTTCCTGAAGAAAATCGGTACCGGATCAGTCGTCCAGGAGACGATTGATGTCCATCAGGAAGGCATTTTCAGCGAGATTTTATGCTTCTTTTGGAGCTAAGAAGATGTGGTTGTGTAATTTGGTGGTTGAGCAGTTTCATTGTGGTCTCTTTACTGCCGAGTTAAACGGTTGTCTTTGTGTTTTAACATCCAACCTTCACCAAAGTCCCAGTCTGTTAGAGCAGCAGATGGCTATACAGTTTGCTGTTTGTTGACAGAGCCAAAGTCTGAGAATTGCTACTGCATTAGGATGATTGTGTGGAGTAAATTTGCTCAGTGGATGAAGTTTAGATCTTAAGGCCTTACCTAGAAATCTGGATAAATGGTAGCAGTAGCTTAAGATGTAGCTGAGCAGGTCGACCTAGCCGTGCTCCACTCAGAGTTTACAAACGCATCAGAAAACCAAAGAATGGCCCTAAAAAGACTTAAATCAGTTTTTTAAATGCCTTTAAACACGTTAGGTGAACCGGTTCTAATCAAGCTGAAGCTCCCAGATATTGCGGTATCCGAACTCTGCGTGCAGGGTCAGCCGAACAGAGCCGATTGGACACTCGCCTCCCGAAAGTGTCGAGACTGCAGAAGCAGGCATCTAATAATGTCATCGTTTTCAAGAAGAAGCAAATGCATCCTTTTTTCAGAGTGCATAGCGGAATGTCCCATTGACTGATTTTATACAGAATTTAGCAGAAAACAAGGCGGACTTGGGTTTGGGCTGGGGCCAGTTTAAGATCAGCCTATCATAAAACATCTGGAAGCATTTTTAATCTTCACCTCTAAATGCACCTTTGCACAAAACATTGAAATAAGTTTACAAGACAGAACAAAACACAACTTCTATGTAACTACTATAGGACTCGTGATTGGTTGATGACATGTTAAGGATTGTATTAATTGTAACGAGCGTAGTTTCAGCTCTAAAATCGCTTGAATAATCTGCAAGAATTTAGTATTTAGTGGTGTGGTCGGTGCCGGCTGTAAAATGAGCTAAGATGTTCTGACCACACACCCAGATGCTGAGGAAAGAGGCGTCTGGCATTTTTGGTAAAATAAACCGTATGACCACTAATTCCTGCTCCCTGTTGCCCATGCTAACCTCCCTTGTTCACCACCTTAAAAGGCTACGGGTGCAACCCAAAGTTTACGCACAGTAGTCCTCCGTTTACACAAACTGAAAGCTTTTTCTCTCTAAACTCTGCATTGCAGTATTTTGAAACGGCAAGACTTCACAGAGGCGTCTGGCTGCTGGGGTGATTTATCTTTATTATGTTTATTGTGGCTCGACCACAGTTGGTATTTCCACTCATGATGAGTTATCTTTTCTCTTTCAGTGCGGCCTTCTTGCGCTCTCCGCTCAACAGTGATTCTTCTCTTTAAATAATCTCGCCAGATTAAACTGGCCAGAGATGTAAAGGCGTGGATTCCCTCGATGAGCGTAGCGACAGTTTCTGAGGCCTACTTTGTCTTCTTACCTTTGGTTTGTTCAGAACAGCAGCGCGGGCTTTAACCCGCTAAGCTGCTCATCTATGTGCACTTTAGCCCTCCTTTCTTCATTGTTCCTTTGGGTTCACTTGCTTCACTGTCTTGGTTGCCTTCAACAATAGCTTTCTTTTTTCTTTATTGTGCAACGATGATGTGTTGAAATAAAGAAACCCTGTTGAGATGCCTGTGTGTAAATCGCTGCAGCCCCCAACATTTGGTGGTTTATTATGAGCGATGAGTGTTTATGAGTAGAAACGCCTTAATGTGGATGACTGTTGCACGCTGGATCTTTAGCATAGTGAGTTTTCTAAGGTCAGGACACACTGGAGGCTTGCAGGATAACTTGCAAAATACTTGTGAAAACAAATTAATGTTAAACATTATAAATTGTTTTAGTGTGGTGACCGTTTATGCAGTAAATAGGTTCCATTTCTGATTTATTTTCCTTTCAGATTATTTTTAATTAGTGTCTCATTTTCTCAGTTTTTCCTCATTTTATTTAGCAGGACTGAATTGGTACGTAGAAATAGGAATTTCCAAGTTCCTAGTTAGAATGTTTTTATAATAGTTGGCGTTGTGACTCTGAATTCAATTCAAAAATACTTTATTAATCCCAGAGGGAAATTGATTGCTGTAGTAGCTCAGAATAATAATAATAATCAGGTCATCAAAGAGTTATTGTATATTACAATGGCTGTTGGCAGGAAGGATCTCCAGTAGCGGTCAGTGTTGCAGCGAAACTGAAGAAGCCTCTGACTGAAGACACTCTTCTGTTGTCGGACAGTCTTGTGAAGAGAATGCTCAGGGTTGTCCATCATTTTCAAATTTTTGAAGATGGCGTTGCGACTCTGAAGGCGGCGTTGCGACTCTGAAGGCGGCGTTGCGACTCTGAAGGCGGCGTTGCGACTCTGAAGGCGGCGTTGCGACTCTGAAGGCGGCGTTGCGACTCTGAAGGCGGCGTTGCGACTCTGAAGGCGGCGTTGGGACTCTGAAGGCGGCGTTGGGACTCTGAAGGCGGCGTTGGGCCTCTGAAGGCGGCGTTGGGACTCTGAAGGCGGCGTTGGGACTCTGAAGGCGGCGTTGCGACTCTGAAGGCGGCGTTGGGACTCTGAAGGCGGCGTTGCGACTCTGAAGGCGGCGTTGCGACTCTGAAGGCGGCGTTGGGACTAAAAGTTAAAAATTCCTTAAATGCATCTTCCTTGATTGGGAAAGTTTCCACTGCTGCTATTTGAAATGCTCTATTCCTATTTCTGTATTTTTGTATCTCACGTGCAGTTTGATCCAGCCACTGGTTAGCATGTTGCTACATGGCTTGAATGCAGAGAAATTCACTGCATTTCCTGGTTTCTGAGCAAAGCAATGTGGAACGTCATTAGGTGCGTTTCCATTGCAGGAACTTCAGGGTAAATTTACAGCCATCTAGGGCCGTTTTCAGGAACCTTCTGAGTACTTGATCAGGGGTAGGTACGGAGTGGCCCAGTAAATGGCCCAGTGCAGTTAGTGGGCGGGAACGTTGCTGATTGGTTGTTTTGGTCGGGAATGATGTTCTGTTAAATGCTTTTGGCGCGTTCTGTGTGATCGCATCAATTGGTGACGTAAAATCGCAGCCGTCCTAATGTGCCGAGGTTTTAGCTGGCATGTCTCCATTTACGGTAAAGAAATCGCTAAGAAGAACGGGTCTTCGGATCGCCCGGTCAATTTCACTTTCGCTGCATTTACCCCGACGTTCCTGTAAAGGAAACGCATCAATTAACTTGTCAGACGTCTTTCTCAAATCCAAATTCAGATTCCGGTGGTAACTGGAATGCAGCACAAGCTGCCTCTACCCACTTAGTTTACTACCGATCCTGACTTGAGAGCTTTTATTCAGTTTGACCTTTAACAATCTTCTTTCCGTCTGCCATAGATCTCTAACTGGGCTTCCTCAGATTCCTGTGATCCCGACCCCTGCAAGAACGGGGCCACGTGCCACAGCATGGACCAGGACTTCTACTGCGCCTGTCCCGAAGGCTTCGAGGGAAAGATGTGCGAGCGACACAAAGACGACTGCCAAGCGACGCCATGCCAAGGTGTGTGTGATGACTCGCCGAGCTAAAATACTTTTGAACAAATGAATCTACAGAGGGAATTGCATAAAACTTTTTTGCCCTTTCAGTTATTGACAGCTGCACCGTTGCTATAGCAACCAACGATTCGGCCGGCGAGCAGCATGTTCCCTCAAATGTCTGTGGTCCACGAGGGCTCTGCATCAGCCACCCTGCAGGAAACTTCAGCTGCGTCTGTGATCCAGGCTTCAGTGGCATCTACTGCCATGAAAGTAGGTGGAGTCGCGTTCTGGTGCTGAGTAACGAAACTCTCAGCACAAGCCGGAAGTGAAATGGAATAGAAAACTTTTCTTAATAAGTCATTCTGCTTCGTCGTCTCTCAGACATCAACGACTGCATCAGCAACCCCTGCGGAAATGGAGGAACCTGCATCGACCGCATCAACACCTTCCAGTGCTTCTGTCCGGACGGCTGGGAGGGTCAGCTCTGTGACCTCAGTGAGTTCTTCAGCCCTCCTACGACTGTCTGCAAACATTTCCCGCGTTTGGATCATGTCTGCATGCCTAGGGTGGAGCTCCTGCTTTCATCGTCCTTAATCTGTTTGCACGGCGAGGAGGCAGTTTATGGAATCGGAGATTGAGTCCCCTTCCTCTGTTCCCTCAGATGTCAACGAGTGCGGACACAACCCCTGTAAAAATGGCGGACGCTGCGTCGACCTGGTGAACGACTTCTACTGCGAATGCACAGATAACTGGAAGGGCAAGACCTGCCATTCCCGTGAGTTACGCCAACTCGGCGTTAATGTGTCAGTTTACGTCTGCAGAATTTAGCTCCGCGGTGCATCTCATCACATCCATTCTGATCCAGTTATTATGACTAAAGGAACAATTCAGGGGATAGCTAGTATCTCACTGGGCTGCAAATGTGCATTTTTAGTTAGAATTGCCCTGAAATGATGCTCACGACACTTTAGCATGTGTTCAAACTGCAAATAAATAGTGAAGTTTGCATGACTTTTCAACAGATGTCTTGCATCGTCTCCATTTAGTCACAAAGTATAGAGCGGGTGTCTGAAATGAGCCAGCCTGCTGATTAGATGTTGTTTGTTGGGGCCAGGTGAGAACCAGTGTGATGAGACCACCTGCAGTAATGGTGGCACCTGCTACGACCATGGTGATGCCTTCCGCTGCTCCTGCCCACCTGGCTGGGGAGGAAACACGTGCAACACAGGTGAGACGGTTTATGGCGGAACCGATTTCCTTGGCGCTCTTTGGGCGGCTTGTAATTGGAAGTTTGTTCTATTTAAGGTTAAACAAGTGAGGAATGTGGAGAATTGAAATTATCCAGCTGTTTTTGTTTTGGGGCGTTGGATGCATAAATCTGTCGCTTTGCACAAACTTGTCCATAAATGGTGATCGCTGTGGCTAATTTGTAGTTTTGGATTTCATCAGCAACTGTGGAGAACTCTTGCATTACTTGTAGCATTGATTCAGAACATTTCTGTGGAAGTCATCAAGCCTGTACTTTGGATTGTTGTATCTGGTTTCTCGTGAGTTTCTTTGTAGTTTTTGATTTGTCGTGCACCCTTCTGGTTGTTGACATTCCTGCTTTTGGGCGGTTTTTTGCAGCCAAGAACAGCACATGTGCCTCTAGTCCATGTTCCAACGGTGGGACGTGTGTCGGAGGAGGAGACACCTTCTCCTGCATCTGCAAGGAGGGCTGGGAGGGCCCCACCTGTCAACAAAGTTGGTCCCCCTGCACAGATTTTAATGCAACTATGGGAAATGATCCTTTTTCCTTTTATTTAATCACATATGCAAAAAATAGTGTGTGCTTATGTATATATATTAATAACTTTGTTTATTAATGTTCATTTCATTCCAATCAAATTGCTCAATTAACCTTTTTTCTGCAACAGACACAGATGACTGCAATCCTCACCCATGGTAGGTAACTTTTATTTGTACCTTTTCAGAGATTTACACATCTGCATGTTTCCATGCCTCCTCATCTCCACACTTTACTTGTACCTCACCGGCTGGAGGGGTGTCAGGCCATGAAAGCCCCCGTGGAAGTTCTCTTTAAATCAAGCCTCAAAGGGGAGGGAATACGGAGAGGTGGGAGTTTAGTAGGGAGGACAAGAGACCCATCGACCCTGTGGTGAATGCAGGTGGGGGGGTGAGGTTGAGTGTTAGAGGGGGGGTGTACGTGTCTATTCTTCCCGTGCGACCTGGGGGGGGAGAGCTTGGCTTTGAGGAGGTATGGAAGGGAGGCATGATGAGAGGAGGGGAGGGGCGGGACCAGACACGCCTATTAGCATCTGAAAGGTGGAGGCTGGTATTGATGAGCTGAATTGAGCTCTGTGACCACACACACACACACACACACACACACACACACACACACACACACACACACACACACACACACACACACACACACACACACACACACACTCATCTATTTATTTGATTTCTTCCCTCCTGTAGTTATAATGGTGGCATCTGTGTGGATGGAGTCAACTGGTTCCGCTGTGAGTGTGCTCCTGGTTTCGCCGGACCCGACTGCAGAATCAGTGAGTTACTTGCCAACATAAACTACATATTCTGATTTAAAAAAAAAAAAACAAAAACAAACAAAAAAAAAAGCCTTCATGTCTTTATTGCATCTGTAAAACGTACGCCGGTGGATTGATGGAGCGTCAGAGTTTGGTTTAAAAGTAAAGATGAGAACTAGATGGACACATTGACACCTAAATGCAAGCCCTCTGCCCTTGGTCATTGTTCTTTGACCCCTCAGGGGTCAGAGGTCGTCCCTCCTCCATACTCACACAGTCACACTTTCACACACTGAAGACAAATTACCCAGTGACCCTGAAATTCTTCTTCTGTTCCTTTGTTTTGACCAGATAGCGCTCACCTTTGTAGTTCTACTAGAATATGAGAATTCTCCTCCAGACCTTGGTTTTTGATAATGAGGACAACGATGACCGAAGGTTCCTAGAGGGTTTAAACCTCCTGCAGAGGAAGAGTCGCAGCAATATCAGAATTAGTTTAGCGGTTACAGATCTTTTATTTGGTCTCAGAGTCTTTATAGAATTTGTCACCTTAATGTCTCAGATGCTGCTTGAAGGATAAAACCCTCGTTTTCTCTGTCAGTCTGATTGGTGCATCATGGTTCACATGGTTGCATTGCTGCAATGAGTGCGTTGTGAATGACTCTCGGCTGTTGCATGAAATTATGGTTCAAAATCTGTGAAGTTGTCTGAAATACAGCAATCTGTTTTCTAAGGCTAATTAGCTGCAGCGCCTAATTTAATTAGACCTGCTCCGAAAGACCCTCAGTTCCAGCAGACTCTATAGGGCTGCACGACATGGAAAACCATCATTTAGCAAATTCATTTATCTTTTGCAACATGGGACAAAATCAACTTTTTGCCAATGTGTCAGAGGTCCCATCCCCAATTCTCCTGTGTGCAGCATGAACCAATTACAGCTCAGTATATAGTCTGATGTATCATTTAGCCAATGAGATTTGGGAAGCAATGATATCTCACACGATCTACTCTAAGAATGATTGTGATTGGTGGATCGCTGCATGTCGGGTACAACTTGACATTTGATGGGAACAGGAGTTAATTTGCATCGGACATCGCAGCAGGACCTGTGATGTCACCATGGTAACGTACGTTGTGATGTTGGTGCTCAAACGTAACATCAAGCTGCTGCTTGTAGTCGTTTCATTAATGTGTCTCATGAGACATTTTCCCAAAGAGGGTTTTTCCAACTATTATTTGTAACCTTTGTTTAAAACCTGTAATTTTTTTTTTAAATATCTTATTTTGTTCTTAAAAAACAAAATAAAACAAAAAAATGAACAAACACCTTACAATCAACTTAATGAAAAGGAGCAGATAGAAGAAAATCTTATATATAATCTGCCCACCTCACAGTTAAATCAATAATAAATAAAATGTGTTTAACTGCAGACTAATATGTCAGTAATTTACAACAAATATTAATTTACTGTTCATACATCTACAATTCAATGAGGGGTAAACGGTAATAAATAAATCACAAAAGAACAAAACCAATCAAGATGGTTTAAAAACACTGTAAAACAATATAAGAAAATATAAACAATGTCATTGATTTTGCTTCTTTCAATTCTAACTCCATATTGTTCCAGAAACCGTCTCCATACACAGAAACGCATCTCTCCAACACTTTGGTTCTGAATCTTGGTTTTATACATATCTCACATCCTTTTGTCTTTATTCAAATTTTGTTTCGATATTTCTTGGATAACATTTCATATGAGCTTTGTAAAATAATCTTAGAATGCTGTAATCAACTAGATCATTACATTTTAATATTTGTAACTTGGCAAATAAAGGACGGGTTGGAGCGCTGATACTTATTCTTTTTTGTAAAATCAAAACTGGATTAGTGTATGCTTTATATGTAGTTCCCCAGATTTCGATGCAATAAGCCATACAGTATATGGAACAGAGTATTATATATTAGACATAATGATTAACTAGTCAAAGACTCCTTTACTTTGTGTAATTTAGCAATCGCTTTTGCCATTTTTGTTTATATACCATTAATATGATGCTTCCAGGGAGTATTTTCGTCAATAATGGCCCCTAAAAACATTTATTTCCCTCACTCTTATCACTGATAATGCCTTCTATAGCCAGTGGCGTATCCATATTTATTCCTCTTTGACTAAATACCGTAAAATGAGTTTTTTTCAAGATTTAGGGATAGTTTGTTTACCTTAAACCGCTGTTTGAGTTTTCCTGGTTAAATCTGAGTCACTTCTCTCATACGCTCTATATTATCACTTGCATAGGAAAACGTGCCATCTGCTAATTAAATACATTTCAGCATTTAGATACATTTGTAATGTCATTAATATACAAGTTAAAAAGTTTCGGACCTAGAACAGACCCCTGAGGTACCCCACACTTTGCATGTATCTGATTTTACATTATTTATCTGAACATATTGTAGTCTATTCTTTCAATAACTTGTGATCCAATCAAGAGCTACTCTCACCATTTTTAAAATAAAAATGGTGAGAGCCAGTTTTGCACTGAAATCTAAAAAGGTAATATTTAAACGACTGGTTCACCAACAGCAGGAATTAGCTTAGTCACAAATGCCCTTAAATGTAAACCGGCCAAGCCATTACTTGTGTTGAAGTATAATTGGATGCTTTCTTCTCTCCACAGACATAAACGAGTGCCAGTCTTCTCCCTGTGCCTATGGAGCCACCTGTGTGGACGAGATCAACGGCTTCCGTTGCATCTGTCCTCTTGGTAGATCAGGATCACGATGCCAAGAATGTAAATCTTATTTCTTGCCTTCATCTAAGGAATCAAATTAATTTACCATTGATTTATTTTAACACCACCAACACCCTGTTTAAAAAGCTCAACGTGACCTTTTGTTTGTTTGTAGTCATTGGCATTGGCAAACCTTGCCACTATGCTGGTCTGCAGTTTCCCCACGGCAGCCAGTGGGAGGAGGAGTGCAACAACTGCCACTGCTTCAATGGCAAAGTGCACTGCACAAAGGTAACCGATCCCTCTAAACACTCGAGGCTTTGTTACAGCTCTTCAGTCTACAGCGCTTCAGTCAATAGCTAGGCCATGTTTTTGCCTTTTGTGTGTCTGAAGCATCATCTGATATAGACACACCGCACCAAGTTTGTGTTTCTTCCAGCTTTGTCCGGAGGAAAAAACTCAATATTGTCACTTTAGTTCTATAGGAACTGGGGGTGTGTGTTGGCAACAATTTGGTGATGCAATATACTAGCCTGGTAAGCCATCCTATATATGTGAATATATATAGTCTGGCCATGGTCTACAGACAGCTGAGTCGTGGGGCGGGATTTATAGTTGTCTTTTAAACAGTCTCTACATTCTATTGGATAACAAACAAGGTGACGTAGTCACTGCTATAGATGTCAGTCAATGAGGAAGTCTGCCATACATGGTCAAAGACGACGCAAATACATCGTTTTTCTAAATAAATGTCAGTACCTCTATCTGCTCTCGGCTCAAAGAAAAGCCCAAGTCTAAATAGTCCAACGTTGATGCCAAAGCCATTTGAAATGAGCAGTCGCCATCTTTGTATCAGAAACATCTCGCCCACCAACACAGTGATGTGATTGGCCCACCAAACAAACAGAGCTCTGTTATTGGACTGCTATAGGGTTGTCACGGTAACCGGTGTAGCGGTAAACCCCGGTAAAAAGTTGACAATAATAACCATCTTGCTTTATAAAAACTATATTATCTCGGTGGATTACCGTGGCTGCGGTGTAGGCGCGGTGACCCTTACCAGCCACCTTATCATCTGCTGAAGTTGCCGGCGGCACATGCGCACTTTGTTGTTTACAACCAAAACTTTCTTGAAGCTAAAGCTGCAATAATGGCCAAAGGAGGAGACGGCAGCACTCAGGACATTTATTATCCCTCAAAGAAGACAAAGTGGGAAGTACGGGCGTTTTTTGGATATTTGAAGAATGCCGAGGGACAGCTGATAGAAGACGGCTATCCTGTTTGCAGCATGTGCAGAAAAAGTGTCTGTGAAAGGCAGCAACGCTTCAAATCTCATGACACATCTGCGTGACCATCACCCACAACTCTACAGTCAACGCAAGGCAAGCTAACGTTAGCATTTTAGCTAAAATGCGTGATCCGAGGATTTGGGTTGAGGGAGAATGCAACGAGTCGCTATATAAAGCAGCCGCAGTGCCGCTACCTGCATATAAACCGTGTCGCGGACACCCCCATGTTGAAATGACGCTATGCATTATGGGGCTCCCAGGGGCAGATAAGAGTTGGTCTCTCTCCGAGAATAATTATGAATTTAACAATGATTACTGCCTGATGACATTTTCCCAAATCTGCAAAGCTCACTGGAAGGACACAAACCGAGGACGATATTTTCCTGATATAGGGTTTATTACTCAAGTAAGGGTAAAAAAGTATCTGATTAGAAGGCTACTTGAGTACTGAGTATCATCTGATCTAATATTTTTCAAATGATGACATCAGACAGAAAAAATAAGAAGTTATAGGCAAATGATGGTATTTTAAAGACTAAAGGGGTAAAATGTAAACAAACAACATAATTACAAAATAACACATTTTAGGCAAAATTCAGACACAAACTGGGGACAATATTTTCCTGATATACAGGGTTTATGTAGTTGTTTGAAAATGTAACACGTTTAAAAGATACCGCGATAATACCGAAAACCGTGATAATTTTGGCCACAATAACTGTGGTAAAATTTTCACACCGTGACAACCCTAGACTGCTATGGATGTCAGTCAATGGGGCGTGGACACGCCACATAAAACATTAAATAATACAGGCAGAAAAAACAGCTGGGACCTAGTAGTCGGAGTTTGAATTGCACCAAATAAAAAATATTACCATATTCATTGGGTCTTCCTTGTTCTGCACGGGCCGTGATGCGCTTGGATAAACATTCGCCTTTAGCTCCCGATCAGCTGATGACTGCTTCAACACACCGCGCTGCTGAATTAAATTGGCTCAGCGATTTTCTTATCAGTAACGGAAACGGCGTTATGACAAAAGAAGACAGTAATTAGATTACTCGTTACTGAAAAAGCAAACTCCCGTTGTTTTAAACGCCGTTATTCCCATCAATGTAAACCGCTATCTTATAAATCACTCAACGTTTTAAGGGCAGCAGTAGCTCAGGAGGCAGAGCGGGTTAGCCAGTAATGAGAAGGTTGCAGGTTTGATCCCGGCTCCAGACAGTGAATGCTACTGTTGTGTCCTTGAGCAAGACACTTAACCCACCTTGTCCGCTGGTGGTGGTGGTCAGAGGGACCGGCGGCACCAGTGGTTGGCAGCCTCGCCTGTCGGTGCGTCCCAGGGCAGCTGTGGCTACATCGTAGCTCATCACCACCAGCGTGTGAATGTGTGTGTGAATGGGTGAATGATACACCGTAGTGTAAAGTGCTTTGGAGTCCTCAGACTCTGAAAGGCGCTATACAAGTGGTATCATTTATCGGGTCATTTATCATTTAAACGTTGTTATTCCCATACTGGAAATTAGCAATCACGGATCAACTATTTAAACATAAAAACACACGATTTAGGGAAAATGAAACGATCAGAACCAGGGATTGCTTTGAATTTGACTCCAGGTGGTGTGCGGTCGCCGTCCCTGTCGGCTCCAACCATCAGACCAGGACCAGAGACAGAAGTCCTGCCCAGCTGGACAGGAGTGTCTGGAGCACAGCTACTACACCTGCTTCTCCCCTCCTTGCAACCAGTGGGGGGTTTGCTCCATGGCTGGACCTACACCTTCACAAACAACCACAAAGTGCCAGCCAAACGGCGGCCATTTGGACAACAGCTGTGGCCGTATAACTCTCGTTTTCAACAGAGACAAAATACCGCCGGTGAGCCATTGTCATCATTTCCTTATTAGGACATTTGAATTGGTGTTGATATATCGGTGTGTGTGTGTGTGTGTGCAGGGGACCACAGTGGAGAATATCTGCTTTGAGCTGAGGTATCTTCCTGACACAAGAAACTTGTCAAAAGACCACGCTCTTCTTCTGCTCTGTGACCTCTCTCGTTCCAGTCAGGACGCTGTAGAAGTAGCAATAGTAAGTACGCGTTCTTCTAACCTGCAAAGGCTTCTCTAGTGTTTCCCCGAGGCCGACTAGTCCATGCATTTATGTAGGTTCACGATGTCAACGTTGGGTGAGAGTTGGAATGTGACTGATAGTCATTTATTCATGAAAGTCTTTGACTCCAACCACTCGGCTCGTTCCCAGCTGTTGTCTGATCTCTTTCCTGCTTTCTGTTTCGACTCTCAAGTCTTTCCAGCCAGAGAACCTCCCAGATCACAGTCTGATCCAGGAGGCTGCCAGTGCCATTGTGGGCACTTTATCGAAGCGACACAACAGCACCATCATGCTGGCAGTCATCGAGGTCAAAGTGGAAACACAGGTCATGCCCTCATCAGTGGGTGAGTCAAACTAAGGCGCACCCCAAGGGTTTGTGTTCGGTCCCATTTACGTTTTAGGCACCTCACCGTTTAATCCCATTTCTTTCCTTTATTACCTCAACAGATCACCTGGTGCCTCTTCTGTGTGTCGTCTTCTGCCTGCTCTGCTTGTTCTGCATCATCGTCTGTGTTTGGTGGACGCGCAAGCGAAGAAAAGAGCGGGAGAGATCCGCGCAAGCGGCTACTGACGGCAACGTGAACAACCACTGGGAGCCACTGCGGCTCGTTGTGGGACGTCAGCCGCAGCAGCAACAGCTGAAGGACAACAACAGGGAGGCCGAGCAGGAGCGCAAGAAGCTCATGGGCTCCTCCTGTCGGACGTGTGATGAGGAGGAGGAGGAGGGGGAGGAGACGGAGGGGGAGCTTGAGCTCGAGGAGGAGTGCAGTGGAGCCGAGGTGGGAAAACAGCTTGTTTATAAGTACTCTAAGACTGTTGCGCAGTCCAGCGGGGGTGTGATCTGTACCCTGCACAGCTCCAGTTCACCCCCCAAAGCACCCCACCGGACCCAAGGCTACAGTCCTAAAGACAACCGCTGGAAAAATGTCAGCACCATCTTCACCGGTCCGAAAGAGCTCCGAGACCACTGTGTATAAGACATTTAAACGGAGTGCAGAAGCGAGAGGCTGCGAGGCAGCGACTGTTCTGTTTGGGACTTCTTTTGGAAAGGGAAAAATGAGGCTTTGTGTTTTTAGAAGCCGCTCTTTGCTTTTGTTAGTTTTCGTCACTGTCGCCGAAAGCGATTCAGGAGCACAGTGAACGTCTTGTTTTTCGCTTCAAATTTTTTTTTTCATATAAAGGAAGTTAAAATGTAAAGATATTCAGGAAGCAAGAGATGCTTCCTGCTTTTTTTGTTATGGATTTAAAGAATCGTTATGGAGTTAAAAAAAAAAGAAGCTGTATAAAGATTGTTTACAGATGATTTTTTTTTGTTTATCAGTGGGCTCCTGTTCCATGTCTGTGGGGGTGTTCACACATCGGCGAGACGGTAGGAAGGGTTTAGAAGAAAACAGACTTCTCTTCCAGCTTCGCCCACCGATCCACCTGTGGCTGTCATGCACACGCCTTACCAAAACCTTAGCCTGGAGGGGAGAGGGGACGGAAACCCCAGTGCCTACTACGTGGCCTTCCATTATTATGATTGATTATTATTATTATTATTATTTTGCTCCTGTCTCCCAGTTGTCTTGGCTGAAAGCTGTATTTGAGACTTTTTTTGCAGTATTTGAGTTGGTAGCAAGTGCCTTTCTGAGACCTGCGTTGTGGCTCCGAGTCACGCTGCCCAGCTTGACCTCCTAGTTCTGATCTCAAAGGGACGCGTGTACATTTCAGAGTTCGGTTTCCACAGCAACGCCATTCAAGGTATTTGATCAAAACAGAAAATACGCTGTACATACCTGTAAATACTCAAGGAGTCGCTGTGTATATTTGAAATAAGTAACTTAAAGACAAGTCACACATTTTTATTATTATTTTTATTTTTATTTTTTTACAATGTCATTCCTTTTTATTTATGTCCGTTGAAAAGCAGGTTTTTAAGGCTTAATCTCAAAAGTCCCACCGTTGACCCTCCCAGCGAGGTACCACCAAAGAAGGATTTTTGAAGGGTTCCCAAACGGTTTGCATTTTTCTTTTCCACCCTACGTTAAAACCGGATCAGTTTGATGCATACAGGCACAATCTTTACTTAATTTATTTTGTACGTTTGCAGAATCGTTTCAACGCTGCTATTAAAGTCATCTCAAAGCTTTTGTGCCGTTTCTAAACCCGTCAAAAACCCTTCTCATTTCGGGTGCCTTGACGTAATAATTTATTACATTTATTTGTGTTATCAATGCTCCTCTTTGTTTTTGTTGTTGGTTTGTTTTCTTTTTAAAGAAACTGTTTGGAGTGTTTTAATCGCCGGAGTAAAGCACTCTCCTCCTCCCACTTTTGCTTGTCCATCATGGAGATTCCTGAAATCAAAGCAATTCCACCACAACTGTTCCCAACGTTACGAATGTGTTTATTGAAATGCGGAGGTGGCGCGCTAGCTTCAGGTTTGGTTCGAAGGCTTTAATGCAGGGAACAACGTTTGCAGACGTCTAGTTGGGTTTTCGTTCTGCCATCATGTTTCACTAAGTTCCCAACTCTGTTTCAGATGAAAGTTTCACCCCTTTTCAGATTGTGTCATTGTTAAAAACAAAGCGCCATTGTATTTCTGTAAATGGGACACAGCAAAATAAAAGAATTTAAGATGCATCCCCGCTCCTGGTAAAAGCTGAATATGCATATTGTATACATGATATTGCCCAAGGGACACCCTTTAATTTTGTACAAAGTTAAAACCAAATTTTTTCAGTGGATGTTTTATTGTTTTAAATCGTCCCACATATTTATTAAAGCAGTTTTGACACATCAGGATCAAACTTGTAATATTTGGATTTTGGTGCGCTGCAGAACTCACGGCTGCAGCGTCACCAAGCACCTGGTTATTCGATGGTTTTAACCCAAATTAACAACGAATGTGCAACAAGATCATTTGATCGACTAATATTAGTTTATCTGTTACCGATATACAGCGGTCATGAGCCATGGTCAGCTGATGGCCGATTAGCGCTGCTGATGTTTTGGATATTTTGAGTTTCAACCTCATTTTATGCTTAAATGTCACTAATAACAATTGATGCACAACATTTCTGAAACTGAATCCGTTTTAGAACTCTGACTTTAGCTAGCTGTTAAATCTTAATTTAAAATCAAACCCCTATATAAGTTAAACTATCTGTAAATGGACTCAAGCATTAAAAGTAAATTTATTTAAAATCATTTTTAGGACACTTCTGACTTAAAATCTGCAGCAGCTGCCCGGGGATGTGCCCGACTTAAAATCTGCTTTACTTATTAGGTATATCAGCCAATGCCTATTTTATATATTTTTTAAAAATGTTCATTTTTTAGTCAAAACTAGAAATGGATGCAACATTAAATTGGTCAGATCTTACTTTAGTGTCAATAGTTTAAACTACGAGCTAAGGAGCCTCTAAATAATTAATAGACGTGTGACGGAATTAGGATTTTTGAGCAAATGAGCACTGGAGCAAAGTCTGCTCTGTTTTTGGTTTATTTCTCTGACACAATGATTCTAGCACTGAAACTAATCACTTTCAGCTCTCAGCCTTTTAGCACAAACACTTCAAATCTTTGAAATTGCTATTTTAGTAATTTTTTTTTTTTTTTTTTTTGCATTTTAAGTGATTCATCAGGTAAAAGACCCGACCTGCAGGTGATGTAGAAAGAGGATGAAGTCCTCAAATAGGAACGATACTCATGACTAGCTGGCAGATTAGTCGTTCGTCTCTGGGAGACTGTTGACTCAGAAAGTCTGAATTAAAACCAACCCTTTATTTTGGGCAGATTTGCTCGTCTGTGTGTTGATTGGGGTTTTGGAACAGAAAAAAAAATCAGTTAAAACTGTTAATGTGATGTAAAACCTCAAATCAACTCTGAGACGAGTCATCTTTGCATGTTGGATAATAAATCACGCATTAACCCACAGGAATGCCTTCTGAGGGGAAAGTGGGGCTTTGTTTAATCAACCAGGGGTTGTTTTTGAATTTGGGTTTTTCCAGATTTGAGGAAATTAACCACTATCGTGCATGATGGGGAAGTAAGTTATGATTAATTTAATCCATTCAGGCTTATTTTCAGCTCCATTTTAAGCCGTTGAACACATTGCTGATATTTTTAGAGTCCTCCTCCTTTCCTGCGAGGCCTGAGGAGGGCCTGGATGGATCGATCCGGTAACCTCTCCAGTCTTCCCACATCCTGCCATAACACTCGTTCCTGCTGCACCAATAGAGCCTCATCTCCTGCCCTGGGCTGATCCCTTCTCCTCCAATGAGAGGCTGGCGTGATCTTCTCTGGTGGGGTGCTGGCGGGGTGGGGACACTTTACCGCCCGATCTCCCGTGGGTACCCCCCTCGGCTGGCGCTAATGGGACCTGCCCTCGTCGGAAAAACTGGATCAGATTACACTGCTTTGTGTATCATCCAGGAGGGAAAACAGCTGACGATGTTTACGGAAATGAATATCAGTATTTTAAGGATGTGTGTGTGTGTGTTTTTATGTGGGCTTAATTGATTTCCTTAAAAATTAAAAAGTTCACCTAGGACAACAGTCTGCATCCATCTGCTGACACGAAGCTGCACTTAAAAGTTCTCTGGAAGCGCTACTCTGAGTAACTCGGACCGATGCAGCTTGGCCTGACCACCGTTTCCATGGACACCCACTGTCTGTCATGGAGCTAACATGGAAACCTAACTACACTGAGATGGGCTGACTCAAACCACGCTGTACACAGCTGTTTCAGGCCGAGTTGCGCTTCTGGAACACTAGCTTCAGGTGCCCTAGCGGGAGCGCTCCCCCTGCCTAATGGCTGCTAGCTGTTTACTCTGCTGGAAGCTGAAATTAAGGCTAGCAGTTAGCGTTATTTTACCGATCATCAATTAAAAGCGCAAGAAGAGCAAAAAGTTTCTGTTTGCATCATGGTGGAGCCTGGAAGTAAAAGTAAGAGAGTAATGTCTTCGGAGGGAAAGCAAGGAGCTAAAACCAGAGTGAGCATTGGCCTAAGCTAGTTTGAGGGAGCTAAAGGAGGCTACAGAATCACAGACTGAAGGTGACTTGGCTTTGTTGCTACTGGACTTTGACAGCTCATGTTAGCTCGTTATTGGCGCTAGCCACAGCAGGGTTGTTTACGACAGTTGTAGTTCTGTTTTCAGCCAGTAGGGCAGAGAAGCAGGAAATAGTTTAGTATTGCTTTAAAACTGCAATTTTATGGAATCGCGCAGATTATAAAAGCTCCAAGAACTTGGATATTTACCTCAGCGTGGAGCAACGGAGGTTTTTCAATGCAAAGTTAAACATCTTACATTAATGAAAACAACTATTCACTATGATTTTTATGGTCTGACTTGACATCAAAGCACTTATATTCTCAAATGAAAAAAATGTTAGAGTTGCATTTTTCATAAGTACAATTCCCCCGACTATCCTAACTGGTGATCAGTGAAATATTTCATCTATGAATCTTGTCCTATCTATAGGGACTACATATGACTCGACAGTCTTTAAAGAAAATGTTCAGTTGAATGTGTTTAACATGACATGAAGTGTTTTTCCTGTTTGTTGTTGCTCTGAGAAGACTGCTTATCTTCGCCCGTGCCTAATTGCTCAGCATAGAGCCCTTTATTCAAGGCCATCTCTTGGTACGGGGAACTAGAGGTGTGTTGTTGAGTTGTGTTTGTGCCTGTCAACATCAATAACCCCCACCGATCCCAGACTGCATCGGTAAACCGACACCAGAGACCAAAAGTGGCTCCCCACAGCAGCCAAGGACATTTCAGTCTGTGGCATCTGTAAACACGTAGTAGCGGCCTACTACCCGTCTCAAAATGGAAGAAGGCATCTGCGGGGAAAGGGAGCAGCTCACATCACAACTGACCCATTTATTTTACCATAGACAGTTTTATTTGCCGTGCGCCCGGACAGGACGACTGACTCGGACAATATTTTGGTGCACTCCGCTCCTAGATGTGCATCTGTTGATGTGGGTCTTTAGGACCATCTGACAGCAAAGGCAGCTGGGTGATGGGATTTTAGGCTAAGCCCTTTGCCCCATTACACACACACACTCACATGCACACACCAAACATGTCCCTAATGGGACTTTGAATTGGCACGTGCTGGTGGAAAGAAGGCTGCAGCTGGCACAACAGGCTGGCTGGCTGAGACAGTGTGTGTGTGTGTGTGAGAGAGAGAGTGTGTTTGCGACCACTGTTCAGGTTGCTGCTCTTCTAGACATAGATGTTTAGGATAGGGGATTGTTCATCTGAAATGAGAAAAATTGAGCTGTTTAAAATGACCAAAGTCCACTTTGTCCATGAATGCACTCCAGCTAGCAGTTAGCTCATCAATCTTTAGGATCCTAAATTCTTCTTCCAAACTGAGGCTGTTCAATGAGCCATCTACAGCAAGTAAGTTATTATTTACAGTTTTTACATAAAAACGTGCCTAAAGGCAAAACACATTTTGACCGATGAGTGTTTGTTGTTAGCCTCAGGGGCAACCTGCTGGCTTCATTATCACTTTTAAGTCTCTTTGGACAAAAGCGCCTTCTAAATACATGAACATAAACCTTTTGAAAAGGTGTCCAACATGTGTGTTATTGGCAGATGACATGAATGCTTTTGCTTCTGAAGAGGATTTTGAGGAACAATTTCAATTTTGTAATGTCTTATGGCTATTGCTTAGACTTAAATTACAGCCGAAACTAGAAAAATGAGACTATAGTGCACAAGTCCATTCATTTCAGTAACACAACTTACAGGTCCTTCTAAAAAATTAGCATATTTTGATAAAGTTCATTATTGTCTGTAATGCAGTGATAAACATTAGACTTTCATATATATTAGATTCATTACACACAACTGAAGTAGTTCAAGTCTTTTATTGTTTCAAATATTGATGATGTTGGCATACAGCTCATGAAAACCTAAAATTCCTATCTCATTGCATTAGCATATTTCATCCGAACAATAAAAGAAAAGTGTTTTTAATACAAAAAAAGTCAACCTTCAAATAATTATGTTCAGTTGTGCACTCAATACCTGGTCGGGAATCCTTTAGCAGAAATGACTGCTTCACTGCAGCGTGGCATGGAGGCAATCTACCTGTGGTACTGCTGAGGTGTTATGGAGGCACAGGATGCTTCGATAGCGGCCTTAAGCTCATCCAGAGTGTTGGGTCTTGCGTCTCTCAACTTTCTCTTCACAATATCCCACAGGTTCTCTACGGGGTTCAGGTCAGGAGAGTTGGCAGGCCAGTTGAGCACAGTAATACCATGGTCAGTAAACCATTTACCAGTGGTTTTGGCACTGAGCAGGTGCCAGGTCGTGCTGAAAAATGAAGTGCTCCAAAATCTCCTGCATTGACCCTGCCCTTGATAAAACACAGTGGACCAACGCCAGCAGCTGACATGGCACCCCAGACCATCACTGACTGTGGGTACTTGACACTGGACTTCAGGCATTTTGGCATTTCCCTCTGTCCAGTCTTCCTCCAGACTCTGGCACCTTGATTTCTGAATGACGTGCAAAATTTGCTTTCATCTGAAAAAAGTACTTTGGTCCACTGAGCAACAGTCCAGTGCTGCTTCTCCGTAGCCCAGGTCAGGCGCTTCTGCCGCTGTTTCTGGTTCAAAA